AACCAAGGAAGTGAGGGACTTCTACAATGAAAACTAAGATATGTTACTAAAGGATATAGATCATGGTATAAGGAAATGGAAAGACATCCAGTGCACAAGGGTATAGAGAATCAAAATAGTTAAAGTGACTATTCTAGCAAAAGTTACATATAAATTCGATGTAAATCCTATTAAACTGCCAACAATATACTTCAAAGAAATTTTTTAAAAATTAATTTATGTAGAATCTTAAAATGCCTCAAATAGCAAAAGTAATCCTAAGAAAATAAGAGTAGAAATGGAGGTATTACATTGACTGACTTAAAACCATTCTACAAAGCAATACTAATTAAAACAATATGGTTTTGCAATAAAAAGACACATGGATAAATGGGATAGAATCAAAAGCCCATGTATATATTAATAATTAATGATAAAGGTGTTGTTACAGAAAGGAAGGTGTCATTTTCCTTGCCCCCACTTATATGCAGGCACCTTACACTACACGTCCTATTACGCATGGACCAGATTTCCTGAAGAGGAGTGCTACTGGAAACTAGGAACAGTGCTGAGTGGCCAGAAAGATCTATATAATATGAAATGCAGGTGAATCTGCTTTCTTGGTTCTCTGGCTTTGACTTGTACATAGGGACTTGGAGGAGACAGTGGAAGAGTGACATGTTGAGACAACTGGAAGAAATGCTTGGAAGAGACATGGGTGAAAGACGTGGTGAAGCTGCTCCTGGTCTTTGAGAGAATGACAGTTGTTATTGATGAGCTATATTTTGTATTTTCTCTCTCTCCTCTGGCCCTGGTCTTTGGGACCTGCTTAACCCCTTTCTTGTGGTTCCCTTAGGCTTGTACACCTTAGGCTTGTGAGAAGCTTTTAGGCTTCAGACTAAGCTTTTTGATAGTCCAACAAAAGGATGAGTAAATTTCATTAGGAATGACCTTTCTTCTATTTGTTCTCTATACATATGAATTCTATTAAAAATAGATCACATGAAAAGTCTGCTTCTTTTGTCCGTGTGTACATGGATGACAGAACCCTTTTAGAGCATGTTCCCCTAAATATTTTGTTGTCCCTGGGTACTCCTAGTTACACACTAACAGGTCAATGAACATACAGTGGGGAAAGGAGAGCCTCTTTAACAAATAGTACAGAGGCCCTCCCTGGTGGTGCAGCAGGTTAAAGCACAGCACTAAGAAGCTTAAGCCACTTCCACATGAGTTCGATTCCCGCCTGCCCAGGAAGAGATCCACATGGTGAGGCAGACCTCTTCTGACCCGCCCGCTGCTCCCCTGAGCAGTGTACTTCGTTGATCTGCCTGTTCTGCTCCCCGTTCTGTCTCTGGTGAATCCTCTCATCCTCCGCATCTCTGGCCTGTACCCCAGTTCTATATGAATAAATAAATAAATCTTAAAAAAAAAATGGTACAGAAACTTGACAGTTGCATGTACTGGGAAACTGGACAGTCATAGTGTGAAGATGCATCGCTCTAAATTCATGCACAAAAGTAAATTCTAAATAGAGTAAAGACATACATAAGCCCTTCAACAAAAGAATGTATAGAAGAAAACACTGGGGATATGATCATGACATCCATAATAAAGATGTTTTTGGAGATTACTCCTATAGAAGGGCAATAAAAGCAAACATAAAGAATTGGAATTAGGTCAAATTTAAAGCTTTTATATAGCAAAGGAAAATATGTAGACTAAAAAGACATGCTTCTGAATAAGAAAACATCTTCCCAAACATCAGATAAAGGGTTAATATACAAACAATACTAAAATATTGTACAATTTAACAATTCTAAAAAAACCTAATTAATGGGCAGCAGATCTAAAGAAACAATTCACCATAGAGGATATATAGAAGGCCAATAGACACATGAGAAAAAAGTTCATGATAACTTTTAATAAGATAGATGCAGGTCAAAACCACAGTGCATTATCACACAGAGAGCATGGCACACATTGAAAGGACCCCCAGCAGCAAGTGCTGGAGAGCATTCAGAAAAAGTGGAACACTATTACATCAATGGGAATGTAAACTGCTGCAGCCATTTTGGACAGTGATCTAGATTTACCTTAAAAAAATAAAAATGGAAATCTATATGACTCAGCAATCCCCCTCTATCAGCATCTATCTGAAGAATATGAAACCATCAACCCCAAAATTATATTCTATACAGTGTTTACTGCAGCATTATTTATAATAGTTAGGATATGTAAACAACCTAGTGCCCACTGATAAAAGATTTGTTATATCTGTACCATGGAATACTATACAGCCATAAGGAAGGGTGGAATGCTACAATTTACAGCAAAATTTAAGGAAGGATGTGTAGTAAAGCAAGTAAAACCAACAAACACAAACTTTGGATGTTTACATAGCAATGATGCTATTGAACAAGAAGAGGAAATTTAAAAGAGATAGAGGGTTGAAAATCTTAGGTTCAAATATCTACTTTAAATATATTTATTACACTTATGAAAGAAAACAGTTACATAATCTCCTTACTTTCCTTTAAAAAAAAAACTTATGTTTATCCACCTACATTCAAAATCATTTACATCTGACAAAGTAAAATACCTCCAAAAACTACGAGACAGTAACAAAGCAAGGCTTCTGAGGCAAAGAGGGAGGAGAAAGGGAGAAAGGGTCAATAAGGTATAAGGGGTCTTCGGGGAGGATGGGGAAGGGAGGAAGTAAAAGAACTGGTTTAAGAGTATCAGCTCTGCCTCTTGCAAATTATAGAATATAAATCACTCAACTTCTATACTTATGTATTACTTATAAATGTGTATTTTGTGGGATTTGGGTTGAATTATGTAAAACAATTATGTAAAGTTTTATGTATGAAAAGTACTACATAAATTAGCATTACTATTGAGTTCTTCAATTTAATACAAGATGACTCAGTTTTGAGTCTGTGAATTAGGAAAACAATGATGCTACTGAAAGAGAAGAGGAAACTCAAAAGCAAAGTTTAACCAAATGGAAGATTAAATAAAGGAGATACAAGGCTGAAAATTTTAGGTTCAAATATTACTTTTAAAACACTTATTATGCTTATGATAGAAAACAATTACACAATCTCCTTTCTTTCCCTAAGATAAAACTTCATCTTTATCCACCTACATTCAAAGTCATTTACTAAGAATATGTTAAGTGCTGGGCACTGTTCTAGGTCACTGGGAATACAAAAATGATACTACAAGTAAGTTCCAAGATGCTCAGATTAGGAAGAGAGAGATACTTATAATAGAATGTGATAAGAATTAAAGTAACCTTCCACCATGTGTTTGCATAGTGATTATAAGGTGTGGCTAGTTTTTGTTCTATTTTTAGAATATATAGGATTTAGAGTCATCAACAGAGAGGTGACCCCACTAATGCCTTCATAATAACCAACCAACCCGAGAAGATGTAGAGAGCTTCTATACTTAGAGGTTGAAGACAAAATTGCTATAGAAGGAAACTGAGAAAGTATAAGCAGAGGTAGAAGAAAGTATGTTAGAGTATCAGGAGTTAAAAAAAAAAAGTCTTTCCAAAAATTTTTTTTTCAATAAAAACACATAGGTCGAGTATATCAAGGAAAATGATGGTGGCCTTTGAAAATCAATGATGATCTCCAAAAGCCAGTTTCAATCAAAGGGTGAAAGATAAAAAAGGCTGGAGGAGTGATAATGAAGTTGTGAAATATTGCAATGAAAAGTAACTATTTTCCTTACCACTTTTATTCACTGGTTGAGAGATCTAAATGGTTTTGTTATGAAGATCTAAATGGTTTTGTTCAGGAAGAGACTGAATAATGATAAGGAAAAACTCTTATATGATGATATGAGTCATCTCAGGCAGTATAAACATTTGACCCATGTTAGCTTGTATAATATATGAGGGCATCTGATAATTAAGTAACTGGCCCAAGGTCACCCATTTAGTCATTCCACTTTAGCTCACCCTAGAATGGACATCACTTACCATCGCCTTATAATTTAGAATATGTTCAACCTGAATGAGTGCAAAACAACCAAAATGAAATTGTTTGACAGAAGGATTTAAGTATAGGTTCGTGCTGCCTCCGCATCTCCCTTTTTGGAAATGCTTTCCTGTCTGTCCAGTTCCAGGGTTGGTGACAATAATCAGGCGTCAGTACCTTGGTTGGTGGTCATTATTCAACAAATACTTTAGCACCAACGTGGGGTGAGATATTGCACTAAACCCAGAAATGAACAAGATAGACAAGATCTTTCCTTATATTTTACATTCTAGGAGAGAGAGCGGTCAAAGCTGAAAATGGGTAAACAAGGGGGAATGGAAGAACCTAGTTTATATAAGAGCAGCATACAGGCCTTTAGACCACGCCCGAGAATCATTTGCATTTTACATGCATCAATTCACAGCCTACAGACATCCCGGTTGTATTACTAGATAACCTAAAACACCTAATCCTGCCATTTCAACGTCATTCCCCTCTTTCAAGCCTGACAGGTCGCCCGGCCACATTGGGTCCCTTAGTTTATCAATCCATCTCGACCCTATCTCCTATGAGAGCCACATCGACCCATCCAGGCCTGTCCGCCAGAGTATCTCCCTCCGAGAGGGCCCTGGGGTCCCCTGACTGGCCAAATCACTCCAATGCCACGCCTTCCTGCTGGAGATTTGGCCCGCACGTCATGCTTTGTTCCTAGAGCAGGTTTTCAAAAAGCCGCTCCCTCTCGGCTCCAGCTGTTTTCCTGCCAGAGTGGGGAGACCCGACAAGCTGCAGCGCTCCCAGTGGTAAACCTCCGCCCTGGCAAGGAGTGTCCATCGAAACCACAACCCACCTACTCCGCCTACTTACCCAACGCGGGAGCTGGCGAGAAGGGCGCACTGCCCCACCGTCACGACCGCGCTCCTGATTGGCTGCACCACGCGACGTCCCGAGAAGTACCCAGACGGCGGCTGGAGTGGGGGGGTCGGGGGGGTGGGGAAACTGTGATCTGCGCGTGCGCAGTATGAGTGCACTGAGCGGAGGGGGAGGTGGCTGGCCGTCCTCCCGCGTCCGCCATTTTGTTGCTATAGTTCTTGAGAACGGGTTAGGTAAAACCGCCTCGGACACGGGACGCTCCTTGGATTCTGGTGCTTGGCGGGGCTGCAGGATTCGGTGCAGAGCCGCAGGACTGCGGAGCCGCCACGTTCCAGACTAGAAGTCCCTAGAGGTACCCTCCCTCGTACTCTGGGCAGCCCGAGAACCCCGGGGCGGCCTCCGCTGAGGCTCGGCTTCGCCCGGCCTGCCTCTGGCTCTGCCCGCTTCCCCGGGCCGGTTCCCTCCGTGAGGCTGCCCAGGCACAAGCGGGCGGCGGCGGAGGATGCTGCGGTCCCGGAACCCAGAGGAAGGTGCTGGCTCGGCCCTCTAAGCGCGTCTCGAGGTGTTCCGAGAGGCCCTTCTTTGGCCCAGGAGCCGTTTGCTGGGCAAAGGAGTCCAGAGCAGGCGAGAGCAGCTGCAGAGCCGCCACAGAGCCCCGGCCCAGCATCATGTCCACCGCCAAGTTCGACTCCACAGACCGCGGGACCTGGTACATGGGGCCGGTGTCTCGCCAGGAGGCGCAGACCCGGCTCCAGGGCCAGCGCCATGGTATGTTCCTAGTCCGCGACTCCTCCACCTGCCCCGGGGACTACGTGCTGTCGGTGTCCGAGAACTCGCGAGTCTCGCACTACATCATCAATTCGCTGCCCAACAACCGTTTTAAGATCGGAGACCAAGAGTTTGACAACTTAGCGGCTCTGCTGGAGTTCTATAAGATCCACTACCTGGACACCACCACCCTAATCGAGCCCGCGCCCAGGTAGGTGAGCGCCCGCCCCTCTGCGGCGTGCGTCCCGCGCCGACTTCGCTGGAGGGTCGAGAATGGCGGGTTGGTTTACTTGGGTAAAATCCGGGGAAGAGTCAGACCCGGTTGGGGGCGGGAGTTGAGAGTGGGGGTTCTTGAACCCATTTCTCTATTCTGAGCCAAATTATTTTTTCAGAAGGCATTCCGAACGCAAGACTAGGGTCACTGGGTAAGGGTCACTGGATGTGCGAAAGCTTTTATTAAGGTGTACACTTTCGCCTTTCGTCTGGTTCTCCATTTGGTTACTTTACTGAAGCAGGGTTTTGGTTTTTTGTTTTTGTTTTTGTTTTTTTAACTTTTTTTTGGAAGTAGCCTCCCTCCCTCCCTCTGAAAATAGACATAAAAGTTTGCAGATCATTCAAGGTTCTGGACTCCCTGCAGATCTCTGAATTACAGGTTTAAGAACTTCTAGACTGCGACCTTCGAAACAATGGACAAATGGAAACGTTCTAACGTTTAGAAACAAAAGCCTTTTACTGAGATATCAGAACTATATATTGATTACCCTGGTGCCAAGTTTGAAATTAACCAGACGCTTTCTCTTTTTAAAAGTGGTTCATTAGCTTTTTGTTTGAAATTTTATGTTATAGTTTTCCTCTAGCTACCACCATTAATAGACTATAGAGATCCATTTGGGTAAATTACAAGACTAGAATGTTTCCCAGGGAAATTTTGAATGATTTATTTCTATCCTAGTTCAATTTAAGACCTACTTTTTGCATTGTCTAATTATTTAATATCTATAAGTGACACTGAGCGCTAAGCATCCTCTTGTTCAAGTAAAATGTATTGTTTGATTTACTTTTCCTTAATCAGTATTTTACCAGAGGTTTCTTTTATTTACATTATACCAAATGTGAACTGAAGAAATCGCCTAGACTTTTAAAAAGAAAAGGTATTTTACTGCCCGCTTTTTTTCTGAAATACCTACTTTAGAAGGAAAGGTGCAAATACAAATTTTTCAGGATGAGCTGTTTCTGTTGATTTGCTAAAGCATTCTGCGTTTTAAACATTAGGGGCTATTTAATTAATTAAGGAGGACCCACTACCTAAGTGCTTTTGTATAATAGAGAAGAAACAAAGTTATGACAGAGTATTGACTGTAAGGTTGACTTTTAAAACTGGGAGAAAGTGACAGTAAATCAAATGCAGTAAAACAAAGACCTAGACACCAAGAATCTGATTGGTGAACCTCCAGGTCCCAAAGCTGGTAATTGGAGGGAACGTCCAGCATAACATAATTACATATTAAGAGGTCAGAGACAATCTTAGGACCCACTGGAATGAACTTCTTCATTTATGCTTAAGTAAATTACTTCCTTATTAGTGTAGGTGAATTATTTCATTAATTTCAGGCATTAAGTCATGTGATGTACAAAGCATCATTATGCTACCTGAGGTGACAGGTATTATAAATACCTGTTTCAAAAAGTGTGAGTTAAGAGCTTAATCACTTTTTTAAAGGAGGGAAAAGGAGTATTATGCTGTGATTTCTCACTGCAGGCAAAACAACTCCAAATTTTCAATATAGGTGTTTTGTCAGACACCAAGTGAAACTGTCCTTGATCCATTTCTGCTCTTATTCCTCCTTTAGTGTAGCCCCATAGGGCTACTTGATCATTTCCTGGTAGCTACACACCTACTCAACTTTTGTACCTTTGTTTAGACTGGTCCTTCACTAAACCACCTAACTCCACCCCTTTCTCACCAATTGAAATCCTGTCTGTTGCTCCAGTACCCTCATAAATAATGGGCCATCCCCAGTGAACTTCCCCCTCATATTCAAATTTGTGTTTCCTTCTTTATGCACTCTGCCCCAGGTATATAGCTGTATCTTAGTTTTTAATCTTTCTTGGTATCTGGGATCTACTTGGTTACACTGAATCTTGGGACTGCCTCTCTTAAGTCTGAAATTTACAAATTTGGTTTGATGTGATTAAATGTTATTAGCCTAGGTAGAACCTAGTAAAACCTCGGCCATTGTAAAACCAGTTTAAGTACTTGGTTTAGCTCCTTAGGCATCAAAGGTGACCTCTTAAAGCTAAGATTTCATGACCTTTAGCTCATAGTGCTTTTTTGTTTGTTTTGCTTAGCTAGAAGTAATAACTACAGTGACTTACCAGAATTTGATCACTGGTGCTTTTTTCTAGTTTGATCTTTTTTATTGGAATGTTCCTTAGCTTTTAAGTTTATATTTTTGTTCAAATACTTACAAGAGAATTATATTTCAGTGATAGATACTAGGAAAGATAAGCATATTAATTATACTTGAAACAAACTGAAAAGTAGAAAAGACTCATAAGATGTCGTGAGGGGAAAAAACCAAGACTGAAAGAATATAATAGAAGGGACCTATCTGGGATAGTATACTGAGAGAAAGCCTGAAACTGAGGATAGAGAAGCAAACATTGAAAAGACTTAAGTGGAACGAAAGTATCTTCCTGGCAGTGGGAAGAGCTTGCATCTCTAGAGGTCCTGAGAAAGTTGGCCAGGACCTTTGCGGCACTTAAAGAAGAAAGGGGTCATACAAGAGTTTGGAGATATAATTGCCAAAGTCAGGAAACTGGATTTTATATAAAATACATTGGGTGCTGTGGAAGGCATTTGAAGCAGGAGAGTTAACTGGGGATGCTGCAAAATCATGGTGACTGATAATATATCCTGAATCGTTAAACATCATATAGACTGATAGAGACAGTAAGCTATGGTTTATCCATATTGGTTTTGGAAATAAAATTGATGCCAGCAGTAGGGAGAGAGATGATGGGGGGGGCAACAAAGATGATTTGGTATTTCAAGTAACTTTATATCCTCTAGGTTAATCTTTTTTGTTTGTTTGTTTATGATATTCCTGTTGTAGATTTTAAATTTAATCCCCTGAAATGTGTCTCTGGTGGCTTTTGTTGAGTTTGAGTAACCCTAAAAGATTCTCTTTCTGTACATTATTGTAATTTTTATATTATAAATCATTTAATAAATAGAAACCTTGTGATGGTTTTCATCTGCATTTTATTCACACATAAACATTTTTAAGATTTTTTTTTATTACGTTACAGTCAATATTTAGGTAAGTGGAGTGTTTAATTATATAAATGTGTTTCTAGTGTAACAGCAGTTTAGAAAATTTCAGATATGAAGTACATTTCCCTGTAGCTTAGAAACTTGAAGATATATTTTGCATAGTTTGATTTGCTTATAAAATTTTCCAGCTCTTTATTATTTGAAGGCCAGGGAAAACTGAGTCAGGTTGACCTTTAAAGAAAATCTTACTTGTACTCAACAGACATTGCACATAATATATACCTGGAAAATGTGGCACCAACATAGAATTGGACAGTCCCTGTCATGCTCTTGAGGGAGTTACTGGTTTTTGAGATTTTTAAAAAGACTGCATCTAAGCTGTCTAATATGGGAATATGGGAAAGTAGCTGTGGTAGAGCCAAGAAAGGATGCTGACCTGAGTGCTTAAAGAAGGACATTACACCTATAAAGCAGAGAGCATGGCTTGAAGGATACCAATAGACAACATAGTCATACCTCTCCCCATATTCCCTCATGTGGAGTTCTAAAGTTAGGAGTAGGGGAGAAGGATTTGACTTACAAACAAGTCAGACGGTTACCAGTGCTTTATGTGTCATGGGAATACAACTCTATTTTATTTTTTTTAAGATTTTTTTT